ATAATTATATTAACCTCTTACATAAGGTGAGGAGGTAGAAAAATGTTTAACGCTTACAAAGAAACCCTGACAGTAAATGTGTTAATAAATAAATGTTATTCCTTTTTGCTACCTGGCCGAGTACTTTATGTTGGAATATGCCTAAAAAATAAACTGTAGAATTATTTTATTTTTTAAAAATCTCTTATTTTCCCATAGAAACCCAGCAGGTGGCAGTTGTGCATGTCAGAAGATACAATTCTGTCATTAAAGCAGAGAAAGGAAGATATGTGTGGCGTTAGCAGGGTTAGCTTAGCCTCGCTAAGTTTCAGAAGAGAATGGCCATTTTAGAAAAAAATAAGTAATAAACAAAATAAAGTAACATTGTATTGAACTTTATTTAAGGCAAGAATGAGGTTAAACGTTTAAAATTTGTTGAATAATGTTTTATAACGGGACATAATTTAATATTTTCACATGCTGATGTTGTAGTGCGGATCCAAAGAGCAGGGACAATACAGCAGGCTACATCAGGACGGCTTAAATCATTTATTTCTTACTTTAAGATAATCTTCACTATTTTATTGGAGCTGAAATGCGGCTGTACATTTAGCTTTAGGTGGCTAACATTGGACTAGCATTAAGCTATTTCTTAGCCAACATAATTTGCATTGTTTCTGAGTACCTTTCTCATTTTTCTTCTTTGAAACGTCATCATATTTGATTGTATGTCCAATGAGAAGTTTGAAGCCAACACTGGATATTTTTTACAGGCATTTTTGACCACACGGGAGCAGGAAAAGTCCACTTTTCTCAAGGTTAACAGTGCTAACTGTGGTAGCCGCGGGCTAAAGAGCACAAAAACAACATGAAAGAAGCAGCAATGACCGAGGTAGACCGACTTTTAACAGTGTTGCATTTGACTTTTTTTGTTCCCAGTTTTGTTTTTTGTTTTTTGTTTACTTTTTCTAGCACATACTTCAAACACAACACTCCAGCTTTGGGCTGAAACAACTCCGCGGTCAGCTTCTCAACACTTAATTGGATCTGAAAGGAGGTCCGATGAACTCTCTTTCATGCTGGCTACAAAGGCCCTCTCAGCTGGGGTTCAACACCATCGTCTTTATTAGATAGGCATTAAGTATTTATACCTCACCAAACTACTTAGAAAAACATAAAAGCTGAGAACAGAAAAAAAAATAAAGAAACAGCGTCAAGTCGGCAGCCTGGTGCACGCATCGCGTCAACAGGTTTGAACACGTGCGCAGCAGATGAAGGTCGACTGATGGTGTCGGAGTGCAGTAGTACTTGGACTGACGGGGGTTTAATTGAGACACTTACACACTGAACATGCCAGCTCTGAGGTATTAAATACCATGAGGACAGCACTGCCCTCAGACCGGCTGCGGCCTGAATGCAGGCTTTGTCGGCCGGACATCATGAGATCATCATGCCCTCTCCCTAATGTCATCAGTTTCAGTGACTGCAGCGTCTAATGCATTAGGACCCTGTGACATCCATTTATTCAGATCACTTAGGGTCTCTGCATGTGTGAGACTTCAGGATTCAAAGAGAGAAAGTTTTTAGATCTCACTCGTCAACAATGACGCAAAAGCGGACGAACGAACCTCTGACGTTGTTGCTGTGAAGTGCAACTTGCCACTATTTTGGAATATAACATTTATATGTGTAAATCATAAATCAAAAGAGTGAATAATCCACACTCACAAAGACAGATGCTGTGTATCAGTTTAATTAAAAAATATTGTCTAATGAACAAACTTAATGAGAATATAAGTTTGTAATAAAAAAAGTTTATAATATTAAAAATACTGCATATTATGTCTTTTTCTCAACTCAAAAGAATAAAATCTCCATGCTATGCTAGGTATGCTAGCTACTTAAATCCTTGGCTGTACTTACATGACTTGCATCTGCGTATAATAAGAATAATGTAATTTGTCACCGGTGTTACAAAATGACAACGCTTGAATTTGACCCAGTAAACAAGATCTCCCATCAGGACTGAGGGCTCTTTCTGAATCATTAAAACTCTTCGTGCCAGGGATTACAGTTAATGACAGGAAATGTTGATCTAATTTCTAAATTAAAGGGACAAAAAAGATGGCTTCCGTTAATTAAGTCGGGGATAATCAGCCTTTAACTGTAGGAACAGAAACACCAGTCGGTTCATCTCATCATTTATTCATACGACAAGAAGAACGAAAACAAGCTTCTGTCTCGGAGTCGCCTCTGAGGGGTGCGTGACTCTTTGAAGATGTTCTGTAATTGATTTTATATAAGCTGAGCTCAAAATTTCAATGGAATTCTATAAAGTTGACTGGGTTTGATGTGAAGGGTTAAAAGAACAGACCGAGGTTACGTTGAATGGTAACTGACGGTTTTCAACGTCTTACTTCGGGTAATATGAGATGTAAAAAAAACAACAACAAAAAAACATATGTAAAACTGCATCGTTAAGAACACCAGACGTTGTTTGCATCGTTTGAATAGTTTTGGGTCGGTGTGTGAATGTTTATTAAATGCTCCTTTTTGCAGCATTTTTATTTTTCAAATGTGGAGAACCAGAAGTTCATTCTTCATAAAGACTATTGTATTGTATCCTATTCTACAAAAAAAAATTGAATTTATACTTTATTATATATTATACATTATTTAGGTTATTAATAAATGCATCTAAATGACCCAGAACATTGCAACCACCAGATCTACACAAATTACGACATCTTTTAGCTGAAGTTGTAACGATTACACGAGGTGCGTTCAGGTACCAGTGGAAACATGGGATTCGAAAATTCTGGTTAGTTTACGCGTTGTACACTTCAGGACAAATGGTTATAGAAAACAAGATAAGAAAAAAGGGCCTTTCTCATTTCTCAGGCACTCCTAGCGCCCCCTGGTGGCCTTCCCTTTGAAAACCACTGCTCTACTGTCACCACTGTCACCTCCTCCTGGCAACAACAGAACTAACAGCAGCACAGATTATTATTATAAGGCAACAACAGAGCTAACAGCAGCACAGATTATTATTATAACTGACACCTTGAACCAGGCCAAATGTGGGGGTTTGTGAACCACTTTTGGTCTGCGAGCCGTAAGTTTGACACCGCCATGTTGAACACTTTAATGACTTTCTAAAAGCTTGGTCATTCTAACTCTAGTAATACTTATCCTGCATCACAAGTACATTCTTTCTACCGTACTACTTCACAAACTGTGTTTTTCAGTAGTGAAAAGTTTAGCGGAAATCCATGACGATAAAGTAGCATTAAAAATCCCAAAATAAATTAGGTTATTGGATCTCATATTTGGGGGAAATGTTTAGCACCTCGCTCCAAGCACAAATAAAAACAAATTACCCACTTGTTTTGCTGCTATTGGCAGGGTAACACCTCAGTGGTGTTTAATTGCATCTTGACTTCTTTTCAATTTCCTGTGCAGCTGCGTCAGAAGGTGAGTCACATATTAATTTTCAGCGTTCATCTGAAAAGGTAGGTGAAACGTAATATGTCAGGCTCCCACAGGCCAAATGACACGACAGAGGCTGATTACATTAGAAACGGTTGGACCATGAACACTCGTACAGAGTTATGAGTTCATTCAGCTCAATGACAGTTTGTAGCAGGAGAAACGACTTCCACTGATTTCCCCTAAAATCTTTGGTTTTAATATAAAGTTTTAACAGGAAGAAATAAACCTTCCCAAAGCTCACTGTGACACTGACGTGATACAGGATTGGTGCAAGTTTATGTTTACTGCTAGACAGACAGACAGACAGACAGACAGTAATAAAACAGTGTTCAGAAAGAATTTGTTAAGAATATTCCACACTACATAAAAGCCCTCGTCAAGATACCCAGTAATTTATTTGTTCACTTTTACTATCTAAGAATTTGGTCCTCAATTAGTTTCACTGGTTTTCCACTCCATTCCCTCTACGGTTCTACTGGCAGACTGTATTTGTAAGTACTGATAAGAATGTTCACTCTGACACCTGGGAATCATTTTAGAGAAACACTTTTAAGAGTCAAGATGTGGAATCTTATCAAAAGCAAAGTATTTCCTGTCTGGGTTCAATAAAATGTGAACTACAAAACATGACAGCTAACAGCAAAGAACAAATGTCTTTTGGCTATGTTGGGCTAACACATTTGTGGGCTAACGTGCTATATGGAAGGTTCCAGGTCAAGTTTCAACCCGTCCCTAATCCCAGGTTAGGTTCCATCAGTCTGACGTAAAAACCACTGTGGCAAACCATGATGATTTGACCTTTTAGCTATGCTAGCCAAAAGCAGATAGCGATGCTACACGGGCAAATGTTGCATACGAAACGTATATTTTTGTTATCAAAATCTTTTAAAAAGGTCAAAGATGAAAAACTGTTCAAATGTTCAAAGCAAAGAGTTTTCATTTAGCTAAGAGAAATTATTTTTCAGGAAGCTTAAAAGGTGCCAAAGACGTAGTGAAACGTTAGCAAATGGCAAAAAAGGCTCCCCAATAGTGATAAAGATATAAACAAAAAAAAAAACCCTAAACTAACTGAATTAAAACAAACAGTTAGTATGAACAGTTTAACTAAAGCTATGTATATATAATCACAAGTCAAATTAGTTAGCTCGGAGCTAAGGCTAATTTTACCTCAATTTTTAAGAGAAAGTAAAGTGTAGTAATGTTAAATCTAAGCCCTGAATACAAGGATATCTGAGAAGTTAAACGCACATGATTACTTGGTTACTGCTTGTTTAGTACAAACAGACTCTGCGCCGTCAGATTTAATAGAAACATAAACAAATTACTTTCTCTAAATGATGGAGTGTTCCCGATCATTAAACAATAACATTCCCTTCATCAGCGTTAGCCTGAGTGTATCTGAATTTAGTGGTTTTGAAACCAAGTTATTTTTACCAATTTTTGGTGTAATATTAAAATGGTTTTAAGAACATGAACTCTAGTAAAAATGTAGTGCAGGCTTATGTAGCGATAAAAACAGGGAAAAAACATCAAAAGTAAGTGCTTTATTCAAAAGGTTTCAGACACGTGTGAAGCTGTCAAGCTTCTGTTCACATGATTACTTTGAGAAAAGGTTGAACGCACAGCAGACAAAGTGCTGGTGACTAAAGAGAAAACATTTATCCTGCTTTTTCTCAGTGATTATGTATTGTATCAGGCGTCTCAATCACCAGACAGCGTTGCTTTGGAAATCATAATCTTCAGTAATTTCCATGATTGGGGCCAGCAACCTCAGGTTTGCTTTTCTTCCTTGTAGCAACCGAGGTCACAGGGTTCAGTTTTTACTCCTCACACTCATGTCCACTTTACTTCACGTCCGTCCTACGCCTTTATCTTCGAGCAGTCTCCATTTATGACCTCACTCCCCAAATTTCTTTTTGTTTGTCTAAAGAGCCTCCCTTTCACTCAGTCTCCTTTGTCGTCAATGCCATTCTGCAGATTCAGGACGCTCTGCAAACGTTTGGCCCGAATGGGGGGCAACTGCTGGTACATGTCAAAACCCAACTCTGAGTGTTGTTGAGGAAGACGGAAGAGCAGCACGTGGTTCTTCAGCTCCTGGAAATGAACAGAACAGAACAGAACAAACAGAGGTGAGAACAAATCCAGGTCAAACAAGTAAATATGAAGTTAGCTACGACAGACCTGTTACAGACACCAGAGCTAACGTTAGCAAACACAGACCTGATAAGGACAACATATCGTACTTTAGCTACGACCTGGTATAGACCATTGTTTCCCAAAGACTGGGTCGCGACCCTCAGGTGGGTCACGAGAGTTTTTTGGTGTTTTTTTTGGGGTCATCTTGCATCATGTTTTCCAGGAGTTTACGAATAATGTCTATTGACTTGGGTCGCGAAGGTTTGTGACTTAAAATATCCCCAGAAACACTGGTAAACAAAATGGACCAGGTGACGGCGTTCAGAGGGGAAAAAAAAAGGTTTCCACTTATTCTTAAATGTAGGAGAAAGATTCAAAACAAAAGCATGGAGAAAAAAAAGATGAATTGATGATTATAATTTGTGTTGTTTAAGATCTCTTGCATGTTTTTTTAATTAACCAAGATGTTAATACCACATGTTCATGCCCCAGTACAAATACCAACACAAAGCTACTGAGTATTTGTGACAAATTAAAGAAAAGCTGGGAAAAATGAAAACAGATGAAAAGAGAAATTGATCAGATGAGTGGGCTGACTGAGTGGAAAACATGGAATCACTGACTGTTAAAAAAAAAAAAAAAAAATGGATCCAATCAGTACATATTTAGAGAGAGATACAAAGAGAGCAGTGGATAAAGCAGAGAGAAGCACCTCATCAGTCAGGTAGTAGATTTTTCTCAGCATGTTGTGTCGAGCCGCTTCCACCTCCTGAAAAGAGAGAAACAACCAGAGGATTTAGAGCCGCAGATGTATTTCTCTGACGCACAAGTGTTTATTACGCCCGACTTTACTGCCTCACTTCTGTGAAAGAATGTGTTTATGATAGCAATAAATTATGTTAAGCCAGTGAATGTGTTTCTTAATCCTAAATGCCAACTGCTAGAACCTCGCTGCTGAACAAGTCACGTGCCACGACTTCAAAATAGGGAAGGTGTGACGGTCTCTGGCTGTTGTCACCGACACATAATCAATGAAGCCACAGCCACTTGCGCGGCCTCTAAGTGTCCGGTGTCGTACGCGATGCAGAAAATGAAAGGAAATCGCCGTTGAAAGTGCTGAGCGTGTCCCAGGATCTGGGTGTGCAGCTGCAGCACCTTCTGGCTCTGCTAAATCATCACATATGAGGCTTTCTTTTATTCGCATTAGGTTTCACTGTGTTTGTGATTTCACTAAGTCATGAAGCACAGAGGAAACAAGAAGAAATGAGGAGCTGGCACCACGTCCAAGGTCTCTGGAAAAAATTGTGGTCATACAAACAGAAAATCAGGGATCACACATTTGTTGTGTTGATGCCGGTTCTCAAAAAAAATCCCTGCACAATATTAAGATCGAAATGTTTTGCATTTGGAGGGTTTTTAACCACTAATTGATTTGGACTGTCATTCTCAGAAACATCTATTTATAAAGTAGTGAGATGGCTGACTTCCTCACTCTCACTCTCAGGCCTCATTCTGTAAAAACAAAAACAAAAGCAGGGGTTTGAAGATGGTATGATTCACTCAGATTTTTTTTTTTCCCTTTTGGTCTGGAAGCATTTCCAAACCATGGAACCCCCCCGTGTATTAAGACAACCCTGGTTTGACAACCACCCAGATACCTGCGCTGCAGCATCCTGAGAGAAGATGAAGGCGTTGACGTGACACACGGCGACCACGTACAGGATGGGGCACCAGCAGCGCTTCAGGGTTCCCATCACCAAAGAGCGGAAGTAAAGACGGAGGAGGGGGAGGGAGTCTTCGGGAGGAGAGGTGAAGCGCTCGATGGGGACGGACAACTACAAACGAGAATTTACAGGATTAATGGACAACGTCTGATGAAGCAAATCACAGCAGCAGCACAAGTTAATAAATAAAAACCTTACCTTCTCCAGGGAGACCCCCAACGACCTGAGCATGCCTACATGTTCTCCAAAAACCGCCAGCCGCATGGTGGCGCTGTATCTTCTCTGTAAGGGCAACAGGACCCAGCAGCCAAAAAGCCAGTCTCCAAAAGACACAGCTTCATACTGAGTCAAAAGAGCGACGTACAGGTCCAGGAAGGAGGCTAAACCTGGGGGCGGGACGTTCAGGTCCAGAGAGTCCAGTCTGGACTTCCTGCAGACGTAGACAGAACCGATGGTAAGGTCTATATGAATCCTCCTTTCATATAAAATCCACATTTTATAAACGTTTCTTCAAACCTGGTCAGCAGTCTGAACAGACCCCACATGAGTTTCTGAACTGGTCTCTCCAGAAACATGTCACTGGAGCACAGAAACACACAGGAGAGACGGGCGAACTTGGCCACCGGGGAAATCACCTGAGAAAAAAAAAAAGGTCAGAGGTCACGAAAAGCAACATGATATTTTTAAATATTCCTTTGCTGTTGCTATAAAACATTTAATTTAATTCCAACAGTGTTGTTAGCGTCACTCTCCTGTCCAACAAAAATAAAGCGATTTCAAAACTAAAATTAACAAGTCCTTACAAAGCAGGAGAAAGACAGAGGTATCAAAGTGTGAAGGAGTTTAGAGACTACACAAAATGGAAGACGTTAAAGATTTCAGAAGTTCTAGAGAAAGCAACCTCGGGAGCTGGTAGAAAAAAACTGACTGAATTTGTAAAACAGAAAAAACTTCAGTGACACAGACGGGCAAGAAAATTGCTGATGAAACTAAAACCAGAACCCTCTGTCTCTAAAGATGTTGAAGAGAAGGAAGGGAGGGTTGTAGAACACAAAGAACATCATCCCCAGGTTAAGGTACGACGCTGTGGAGATGCATTAGTGCAGTGGTTCTCAAACTTTCGGGGGCAGCAGTCTCCATGACCTCCACCCAAATCACACTGCACCGTACCAACCCCCCTGAACGTGGTGAGTCCACTGGAAGGTACCAACTGCCCTAACTGGGATTCGATCTTGCCCAGGAGGTGAACCCTGGGGTTCCACACCAATGACAGAGACGTTGCCTCTGGGCCAAAGCGCCACGTGCATGGTATGTTTTAGATTTATTCAATTGAAAATGTAAATGTGAAAATATAAATTTTCCTCATGTACCACAGTTTGAGAACCACTGCATTAGTGAGTTTAGATAAAAAAAGAAAAGGTCATTGTTTTGTTTTCCCGACAAGACACTTCTGCTTGTACTTTGTATTTCCATCTAATGACACTTGTATTGGGAATAAGGTTAATCAAAGGCACACTTTGAAACTAGAGAAGAAAAAAAATAAAATGAATTAACTTTTTTATGACCCTGTTGGCAGGAATGGTGGAGTAATGTGAGTTTAGATAAAAAAAGAAAAGGTCATTGTTTTGTTTTCCCGACAAGACACTTCTGCTTGTACTTTGTATTTCCATCTAATGACACTTGTATTGGGGATAAGGTTAATCAAAGGCACACTTTGAAACTAGAGAAGAAAAAAAATAAAATGAATTAACTTTTTTATGACCCTGTTGGCAGGAATGGTGGAGTAATATTTAGTCTGTAAATGTTAAAACTGCACCTTGAGAGCCTCCTCTCTCCAGACCTCCAGCAGCAGCAGCCACTGCAGACAGTGGGTCACCAGCTGCAGCGCCCCCTGAGGAAGCTCCTCCACCGCCAACACTCCGCCGCCGGAAACCCCGGTTCGCTCGTACAGGCTGACCAGCGGCAGGAAAGGCCAATCAGACGGCAGCGTTGGACCGGCGAGCTCTGGGAGGAGATGAGATTTGATCCAAGGGCTGCGGCCGAGGAAAGCGTCTCTGGTCAGCAGCACAGAAGACTGTAAATGGGCCAGATGAGTGAGGTAACATCCCCGAATGGACGGCAGCTGGACACAGGCTTCTCTGAGGAGAGCACCGATGGTCTGGAGGGAGGAGGAGGAGGAGGAGTGGTGGGTTTGTTCGTGGAGCCTTAGCTCCCCCAGCTCAAGGGCCTCTGGTCCTCCACTGTGGCCCTCACTGAAAGGAAACAAACAAACAAAGAAACAAAAAAAGGTCACTGGTCGGGTTGGTATGAAAGTTAGTCAAACGTCAATCCTGGTGGAAGTGGGTCAGAAGGAAATTCAATCATATCCTTAAGGCAAAAGACTTTAGATATAATCTAATATAAGAGCTCTAAATTCAATTAAGACCAAAAAGACTTGGTCACACTTTAGAGTTTGATTCGTTTTATTTAATTAAAGTCTACAGTAAAAAACATTCAGAAGTAATAAATCAAAGTCGGAACAACTTTAAACTTTCCTCATTGAACCTCAGAAAAACTTACGATATAAAGTCTTTGCTGAAGATGATGGTGGAGAGCAGCTCGTGTGCCATGTACTCACTGCCTGGTAATAACCAAGACAGCAGAAGCAGCGCCACCTGGTGGTAGAGTGATGCATGTTTGGCTACCTCCTTGTCATTTGGAACCTAGAGTTAGAGTAAAAAATAAGGTTAAAAAGAAATCACAAAACCTTGAGGCTAAAACAGTAATTATGATTTTTTTTAACATAATGACAAAGAATGAAGATGATAGAAAAAAGAAAGTGAAGCAGAAAAAGAAGATGAACAGAAGGAAGATGATGAAGGAACAGGAAGGAGTAGCAGTAATATTTACAGTAACAGTAGCAGTAATACTTAGTAATAAGTAAACCCACCAGTCTGTGTGCCAGCTGCAGCAGCAGGTACAGCAGATGGTGTTCATGTCTGAGGAGCCAGGCTCTGGTGTGGGAGTGTGTGGGCGTGGCTCCACTGCAACAACACAGGTATCCAATCACAGGTTCTGACAGGAGGACGCCACTGAACTGAAAAACAAAAAAACAGAAGAAAAAAAATGGTGCAGATGTTACTGTTGTCTGGACATGAGTCACAAGGTGACCTCACAGTGTCAAGGTACCTAATGTTATAATCCACCACCTGAAGCATCATGGTCAGTGGGACCTACCTTCTTGCTGAGACCCTTGTGGAGGCCTGTGATGGTCTTCAGGAGGAGACCCAGGCCTGTGAGGAGAGGGAAGGGAGAGCTGGGAACAACCAGGCCTGGACCATCCCTCCAACCTGCACAGGCCAAACCAGGGAGGCTCGAAATGGTTTCTGAGCCGTGATGACCGGACTTGACAGCACACACAACAGAGCACGACCTGGAGGGTAAATCAGATGAATTAAATATTAATGCATTAATGCAATGTCTCCTGATGTTTCAGATGGAAATAACAATCTAGCTGCAGAAAATTATGATGTCATGCTGAAATTTCTAAACAGCGGCTGTTTTAGTGAGTCCACGGTGACATTGATTCTATTTTGGTCACTCTTTACTCACAGTAAATTATTACTCACAGTAAAGTTAACATTTAACAACAATTTTACTTTATTTCATTATTTTTTAACCTTGCTTTAAGTAGGTAAGTCCACGAATGATGAGTTCTGAATTGAAATAACCTGAGACAAGAGCATCAGAGAGCACATAAAAAAAATTAAATATTCATTAATTCATTCATTCGTCCATTTTATCCACTTAATGCTGCACAGGATGTCGTCATTAACATGAACTGTATCTCTAACTGAAGGATTTACTTTAAACTGCATCAAACATACCTGAGGTTTCTCATCAGGTCTTGTACGACACGGTGAGAAAACAGTGGGAGGAGAACGTCAGATGTTAGCTGCTCCAGGTCCTGGAGCGTCTCCACGGGTTTGAAGCAATTCTTATAAAAAATAGGGAAGATAAAAAGAATTGTAAACTTACTTGAGATCAAAAACATTTTCTTATTCTTATTTTAAAAACATGTTGTCGTCAGTGAGTACTGTCATTGGCAGGCAATTAATAATTCAACTTATTGGGGTAAACTGTGCTTTTTTATTGTGCCCAAAATATCCTTACAAATGCAGTGCAACATGTACTTGTTGCTTAAGCTTAGCTGTTATATGGACAGTCACCTCCATTTCCCTGGAGTACTTTAAAGTTGTAGTTCATGGACAATGACCTAAGAGGATAAGTTCTCCCAGGCGTCAGGATCCGTACCTGTCTGGAGAGATGGTGATAGTAGGCATCCAGGTAGATGAGGTAAGCTGGTATAAGAGTAAGGCTGCTGTCTTTCTGAACGGGATGATCAAGGTTCTTCAACAAGCCTTTCAAATGACCCAGCAAGGACGGGTACAACCCTGTGACATGACCCCAGGACACTGATGGAGGAGGGGGGCGCTCTTCTGCCTGAGAGCTGGAGCAAAAAAAAAAAAAAAACTCTTCTCCCTGAGAGCTGGAGCAAAAAAAAAACAGCACTGAAACCTAACAAACCAGGAGTCCTGTAGGATACAAGTGGCAGAGATGTCACCCTTTCCTACCTGACCATGTCAGCCTGGAGCTCCTGGTGGTTCCCTGCAGTATGTGTAACCTGTGTGAGTAACGACAGCAGAGCCAGAACACGTTGGAGCTGCAGCGGCAGCAGGTGATCTGAGGGGTCCAGCACCCGGGGCACGGTCTGCAGCGAGGTCACTAAGGCCGGGTACAGGTCTCTGAAGGGAAAACAAATGACAGTGGAGAAACTTTCCTCCAAAACAGAACAGTAGACTCAATAATGTCTCACGGCATCAACTTACATGTATAAGTTACAGGCCTGTCCGTAGCCTGCGGCTACAGCCCACATCCTGTAGGCCTCGGTGCTGAGCCTCAGAGCCTCTGTGGGCTCCAGCAGCAGCTCACTGAGCTCAGCACTCAGCAGGCAAGACAAACGCTCCCGCACTTTGAGAGAGTTTAACTGAAGAGGAGGCAGGAAGGTGAATTATGAACGCAAGCACATCAGCTTCCCCACATCAGTGTGGGGCAAAGGTCACTGCTGTGTCATGTCAGTCTCACCCCCGTTAAAGTGCATCTCCGACCAAGCCAAACCACTTCTGACCTGGCCGGTGCTTCTCCAAACCAGGTTTTGTAGTACAATACGTGTAATACAAAGAACGCGCAAGTTTTTAGACAAGTCTTGGGTTTGCTGCATAAATGCGGACCGGAGGTGTCCCGGTTAGACCAGAGATGTACCTGCTGGGTCGGAGGTGCACTTTAACTGGGGTGAGTCTATACTCATGTGTTCTTTTATGCTCTGGAAGTTGCCTTTGGAGTTTAAAGTTACATAAAAGCTGTTCTTAAAATACTAAGGTCAAAGGTCAGCTCTCTCTACTCTCTTATGCTAATGCCAAACTTAATTCTACAACTGAGGAATTAGATGTCAAAAGATGACCTCACTGTTCAACGTGTGTGTGTTTTAATCTCTGTGGTCCTAATGTGAGTTTTTATGCTAATTACAGCTTCAGTACAGGACATGTACAGGACACAGGACAGTTTGATCTGTGATACGAGTTCTTCCACCTACCAGTCGGGCACAGGCGTGTCTGCCAGAAGAAGCCAAAACTCTCAGCAGCTTCATGGCCCCGGCCTGTGGGAGTCCATAAACGGACTGAGGGAGGGAAGAAGCTGATGGCGTCCAAGAGGTGGGGAGAAATTCTGACATCACTGTCTCCATGAGACGAGGACAGTCCAACACCTGAGGCATAAATGGTTTTCTACAATTAACAAAATCAAACTGGTGACCCAAATTGGGGTCGCAACAGTTAAGTTGAAAAATACTACATTAGGCAGTGGTTGTTTTATAAAAAAAAAAAAAATTATTAACCGTTTACCTGCGTGGCAGATGAAGATGAATGTCTGGCGATACGAGTCAGGATGTTCAGGATGTCCAGGACCACTCGAGGAGACGGTCGCATGACCTCAAGGATGTAACGTAGCCTGGGGAGCAGCTTCATTTTCAAAATACCCTGAAAAACAAATAAGAATAAATTAAAACCTCCTTTATGGTCTACTGCATGAAGATGAAATAACAGTCTGGATGTACTTCTGCTCTCTTACTTTGACCACATCCTGCTGGGCCACATCATGATCACTCTTCCTCTCTTCTTTCTCTTTGACCGTCTCCTTCAGACTCTCCTCCAGGCCTTCATCCTCCTCGTCTTCTTCATCCTGAGCGAACGGCAGCAGAGGAAAAGAGGCCAGACCGTGGAACCAGGAGAAGGTGCAGTCCAAACACTCCTAAAAAAGGAACACACAAGGTTAGCAGATGCTAAAATTAAACAGCCTTACAAAGCAATGGGAAAAAACAAACTACTTCAGAGCATATTGTCATAGTATTATATTTTAAAGTGAGCACTTACTTCATCCTCTGGACACACCAGCAGAGCTTTGAGTGTGTGCACGGCCGAGGACATCACTCCCTCCACGCTATCGTCCATTGCAAAGCGAAGCAGGAAGATCAGACCGGCGTCCAGCAGAGTGGACGTCACACTGCCCTTCAGCACTGGCTGGTATTCTCCAGCACGTGCCTTCAGGGTAATAAAAAAAAATCATTCATTTTAAAACAGCATTACAAGTGAGAACAATTAGCAGAGGTACTGCATTAGAGAGAATGGTTGAGTGTTCAGCTGTGTACCTTTGAGAGGATGTTGGCTAAAGTGCTGAGGGCCAGACTCCTCTGCTGGATGAGCTGACTCCTAGACAACAAGAAGAGCTCCTGCAGAGAGTAACCTGCCCGCTGTGGGGGAAGAGGAATTCTCTCAGTTTCAGACTTGAGTCGTTAAAAAGACATTTTAAATTCTCCAATTTTATGTCTGCAGAGGTGTGAAAGTCTTTTTGGATCTGCACCAGATGTTGGATGTTGTTAATTAAGCCAGTGATTCTCAATCTATGGTACACAAACCACTTTGTGGTATGGTGCTCCCTCTAGTGGTATGGATGGGAATTTGATTGTTTTTTTAACATCTATTTAGCTGGACATCTTGGCAGCAACACTTTGATGTCTGGATTTTTTTTTAAATAAACATTGGATAAAATTTGATGTAAATACTAAAAGAAGTACTCAAATATTCAAACCCAAGGGGAAATACAATCAAATAATTTACCGGTGTCTGTACCAGACATACATGAACTAAAGCAAGACCTAGTACGTAACAGACAAAATTCAATAAAGTTAAACGTAAAACACTGTTATTTTACTTGACATCTACTGACCTCTGGCTCTTCTCCATGATGGTGCAGACCCAGGTGAGTGGGCAGATCTTCCGAGGGTTGGATCAACCTGCCAGTGAAGTCAAACCGAGCCTGCATGGCCTGTTAGGAGGCATAAAAACAAAGTCTGCGTCAGTGACCTGCTTCCTTCTGTCTTGGTGTTGCTGTGAGGAACATCTTCCTACCTCCTTAGTTCCTTTTCTTCTGGGTGGAGGCAAATCTCTCATCCACTCCAGCTTCTCGGGCTCCAGCTTATCCATGTGGACCCAGTCTTTTTGAGGCTTCACTGGAAGGTTGTCCTCTGAATACACCAATGCACATATGTTAAGTTGGAAAAATTACCTTTAGAGCAGCTGATTCTGATTCTGTGGTTAATTTCACACTGGCAGGAGTGAGAAATAAAACACACATGGTAGGGAAAATGTTCCTCTTATTTGGAGGAATGCAGTTTTCAAACTAACAAAAGAGGAAGTCTTGCCTTCAGCACTTCTACTTCCAAGAGCCAAACTTAGAAACACTGTGTCAGAAGCTGAGGCAACGTCTGGCTATTTATTCCTGACCTGAAACGAAGCCATATCCTCTCAGAGGGAAACATCCAAGAGGCAATCAATTTTAAATAGTTGGCCGGAACAACAGAAACATCAGGAATGGTATGAATGATGCGTTAGATCTGTCTATATGTGGTGCATTAGCTCTTCTTTCATCAGGAGCAGCGGGGAGTTTCTCTCTGCGATCTGCAGTAACTTAATTGCGGAGAGTGGCCGATTCTGGCTCAGCTGGTCTTCTCTGCTAATCACACAAAGTGAAGTCAATGCTCAGCTTTGTGCCTGGACGTGAGCCATGCATCTAAAGCATGCAGCCTGACTTGTTCAGTTAGCATCTATCCTTTATACTCTGAGGGATGATGGGCATGAGCGAAATAAAGTAAAGAGCAGGAAGCGGTGGAAGCAGAAAGGAGAGTAAAAAAAGGATGACGTCGACTATAGTCCAGCATCTGAGATCCAATGGTTATTGTGTCTTAAGAAAAAAATAAAATATTGACCAATTTGTATTAATTAATTAATTATTTAATGAATTAAAAGATTGAAAAACTACAATGGGAGCATGTTTTATGGGAGCACTGGGAGCCTTAATTTTACCAATTAAATTTCACTAAATTGGTCTGAAAACATTTACTGCAAATACATTTTCTTTGTTCGTGAATGCAGTGAAATGCAGAACAATTAAACAGTTTACCACTAGATGGCAGCAGATGGCTACAAAAACTAAAAAAAAAATGAAAAGAATCATAGCTGTTGGGAAAGATCTTTGTGTCTTTCTTCAATTCCTGAGTATCTCAGCGTTGTCTTCAACTAAACATGCTGAGATTTCACAATTGTTAGTCAATTGTGCTTACCTTTTAAGCTAAAAGATTATTGTATTTCATTTTTATTTGATGGTGGTGTGCTGCGTTTTTTTTCGAACAAAAAAAATTAGCATGCCTCAAAAAAGGTTGGGAAACGGTGTTTTTTTTCGAACAAAAAAAAGTAGCATGCCTCAAAAAAGGTTGGGAAACACTGCTGTAAAGAGTGTTTCCTCACTCAGATTTTTAAATCTTGGAAATGGTGGAGTCGTTATTTAGGTTAGAACTACATAGCTAAATGGTTGTCATCATTGGTACTGATCAAAGTTTATGGAACTGCTCATAATACAGTAAGTTGCAGAAACGTAAAAGTTAGTTCTTTGTAATAAATCGTACCTGCAATAGATGATGTCACTTCCTTCCTCTCCTCCTCCTCCCGTTCCACTCCATCCATGTCCATCTCTTCAGAGTTACGTGATAATGTAACAGTGGTCCTGGAGCCAGGCGTGTCCTTGTCACCTGTCTTCTCTGACGGTTTGGATGAACACGTTGAAGACGAGACGCTCTGGATTTTGCGAGATCTGATAAACTCCACCAGTCTTGGATCTAAGAAGCAGCAATAATCATTGTAAACACAGTGGAACAAAGTACAAAAAATGTGCTGGAAATTTAGCTTTAGCCCCTCTGTTTTTGTCTTGTTTTCCATAATGAGATATTAATAAAAAAAACATTTTCATTCTTGGCTGAGTCGACCATTGACAACCCCCAGGCAAACTCTTTTTTCAAACTTTAACACAGTTTGCAAAATGGAACCATTTATAAAACCTTGCTTTTCAATGCGATTCTTTTTTGATTTTCAATCTCTGTGTCCAGTTCTGCAACAAACAATAAAAAACACTGAAAACATGTTCTCCCTACCCAGCTGTGATGAGAGTTTGTTCTGCTCTTCCAGGATGTCAGACTGAGACATCGCCTGGAGTCTGGCCTGGTTTTCCATGTGGATTTTCATGATCTCTCCTGAGCTGTCTGGACCTCCGAGACCCTGACCGGACACTAACCTGGGACCGGACGCCAGAGGCAGTCCTGTACAAAGAAAGTGTGAGAGTCAAATGATAAGACTAAACATTGAAACAAAGTTCCAAGAAATGGTTTACACACGATCACCTGTCACATCACAGTGATCCGTCTCCATTCTGTTTTCAGACAGAGGGGTCTTCTCTGTGGGACCACTCGGCTGGGCAGTCTTTTCCTCCTTAAGTCTCTGAGCAGCAATCTGACGAGCAAAGATGCTTTTCTTTCCTTCAGATGTAGACACTGATGCCTGGTCAAAGGGATTCATAGATTTAAAATATGTTATTAGTTAACATTGTGAATAAGCATTTTATAACAAATGCCCATGTAGCCATTTAGAAAAATAAATACATTTGTACCTGAGGGCCATTTTCAGAGCGGTGAAAAACTTTGGGGAAAGCCAGGTTTGTAAACACTGGTATGGACACAGGGGTTGAACTGGTGTCTCTCTCCTTATTAAGGGAAATCACAGTTTGAATTAGGCCGAGAAACATGAAAATAACAGAGAACGTGAATGATGTGAGAAGAAATAAAACAAGAAAAATAAAGAAAAATTAGAAGAACCTGCAAACTGAACTGGGGTCCTGAGTGCCACAGGTACAGTTTGCATCTTTTCATTTTGAGGTTAACCCTCACGAGAAACACTTACAACAATGCGCGACAGAACAGCACTGATGTGAGTGTCGTGTCTGTCCAGTCTCTCCTCAGCATCTTCATCTTCAAACGTGACACGACTGGCTTTAAAACGAGACTTCTTTGGGGGAGCAGGAGTCAAAGAAGGGAGCTGGTCTGGAAGATCTACAGCAATCACAGATATCACGACGTGAAACTTTGGGCTCAGGATTAAATTTTGCCATTTCAATGGTGGTTATAGCGATGTAATAATGGCCAAGAAACATACCGTCTATGGTGACCACATCCCTCTCACATGCCCTGTTCTCTCTGAGTTGTCCTCGTTCTCCTTCTGTCCCTCCACTGACACCAGCCTCCCCTCTCCTCTTGTCAGGACGACGAATCACATTTGCAGCAGACGGTGCACCTGAGCTCAGGAACTTCTGTTGCTCCCTCAGAAGGTCTGTTTCCGAGTCAGTTGGCTTGGGGCGACGCAACATTCTTCTGTAGAACATATATTTATTATATTTCAATAATAAATATATTTAATATATGCTATACTTAAACACAGCTTTTTAAAATACTCTAATATATCCCGTGGCTCACAAAATGGTATTAAAATCTAAGCAAACTATGGAAAACCGAAAGGGGCCAAACTTAGTTTACTTAGCGTGTTGTTTAACAATAGGCAGACGACGACACAATTAACCACCAAAACACAATTATTTCGCTTTCACGTGTATTGAAGTTTAACGTTACCACGTACCGTAATGGACGCGAACAGTTAATGTTAGCATTGCGTTAGCTGAGTGTCTCAAATCTAACTCAGCAAATATTTTAAATTGTACAAATGTAAAAAACAAAACAAAAACGTAGTCACCATTTTAGGACAATTTCTGACAGGATACAGCGTGTCTTGTTCTTAGTAGCTTACCTGTAGTTGACACCAGAGGAGCTCTGATTCTCCACACTCAGATGAATACTCGGAATTGTTTGAGTGTAACACCAAACCTCGCCTTCAAAATAAAAGTTAAATGACTAGTTTTATTTATGTTGTTCCCGGTTTGTTTACAAAATCGAATAAATGCGGATAATGATTCACTTATACCAGTTTGAAATAAACTGACCTGGAAAGTGAGACTCAATGTGGGCAGCTGCCTACATTTACCTGTTGTCTGCAACAAGAAACGCTATAGTCATTACATTGAGTTGAGGTGCACCATAGCATCGTCAAATGGTCTTTTAGATAAATTAAAAAAATCGGATTTATTGAATTGAATTTTTATTTAAAAATTGAATCAATGTCTTATCTTAATGGGTTGGTTTGTCATTGTTAGCACAATACTTTACAAAACTTTACATCGCCAATATGTCTTACGTCAACACCTGTATAAATAAAGATTTCAAAGTGGTAACCATAAGTATGCACAATTCATCCACAAACCCAAATGGCCTATATTAATGTTAATATATTAATTAATATATCGGCTGTTAAGCTCTACCAAAAGCATAAACGTGTTTGGTCAGAATACAACATAGCTACTTCCGGTCACTTTCCGGGACTTTAGTCTTACACTTTTCCTAATATACGATCTAAGACTGAAACTAAACAAACTGCGTTCCCAATTAAGTAAAACGCAAATCTTTTATAAATATGACCAATTATAACTTATGAATTATAACTTAAAAAAACACCTTATATTATTACTCATACTTATATTTATTTATGAGCAGAGCGGTCACGTGATTATTTTTGAGCGTCCCTGATTGGATAGGTTTTTTGTGCACTGTGAAGGCTGGAAAACCTTCGAGGGTCCGAACTACGCACGCTCTAATATAACATAGTGGAGAATATTACCGATTTACCAGGTATTTGTCAGATCAGGTTCGGATAGGACGCTGTCTGTCTGGTGACACTGATAGATAACCTCGATCCATCATTCAGTGACATCTGTTTTAGTGCTCAACGTTACTGTAATATTTGAACGCGATCATTTTATTCTGCTGAATGACTTTTTGTAGATGGCGGACATGTTAATTACCTCACCGCGGTGCCGGTTTGCTTATTTATTCACAATGTAAGTCTTTATTTAATCATTTTGACTGCAGAGCGCACTGGACCAGTGACGAGGATCATCGCTGACTGCATCATGGTCAACCTCTGCTGTCTCTGCTGCGGTGAAATCCCTCAACCCCGCCCCCCTGCGTCCGGTCATCAGTCGGCAGGACCGCCGCGGGATCCCTGCTCCGTGCAGCCGCAGCAGCAGCAGCAGCCTGCTGGCTCTGGCCCAGACGTTGTTGGGCTGCAGGGGGCACAGCAGGGGGGAGCGAAAGGAGGGACATCCAGAAGTAGACCAGAGTGAACTCATCACCTCCCCCTCTCCTCTCTGACATGCGAGAAGTGCAGCATGCCCTCCTCAGACCTGGACTCTGCAGAGGAGTCAACGGCTCACGCTGACACTGATGCTGATGTTGATGTTGATGCTGATGCTGATGCTGATGCTGATGCTGAGGAGCAGGAGCAGCAGCAGATTCAGCAGCGGAGTCAGGAGCGGGTCTCAGCAGCTGACAGTGATGCAGTGGAAGAGGTAGGTCCACCCTTTGAATACCTATTTACACACATCTGTCAGAGTATTTCACTGACTTTTAGAAAAGTAAAACCAATGATATAAACTCTCAGCCATGGATTATACAGTATCTGTATATCCAAAAATCAGTGGTTTTCCCCCAATACATTCTAATGACACAACCTAGATATACAGTACATAGATCAGTGTGGACTGGAGTCATGTTACCATCAGAACATCTGGGTGTCACATTTGCCAGTGAGTCCCTGAAGCAGGACACCGAACATTCACATCTTCTGCAGTGTCCAAGCCAAACCTGGATAAATTGGGAGCATTGCATCAAAAAAAAAAAAGCCGGGGGGGGTGGGGGGGGGGGGCAGACATTGAATTCTGAACACGGTAGCAGCATAGAGCATATCTTCATATCTTCATATCTGAGTTCATCAAATGAGATATTGAGACATTTGTTGGTTCATGGTGCTGAGTAATCCACGTCCAGTGGAGACTTTTTCATCCTTCCATCCATCCAGTTTTTAAATGTGTGCCGCCTTCACTTCGTCTCTAAATTGGCTGGGACTTTGAACCGACACTCCTCCCGATAACCACGGGACAACTACACCTACAACAGGCGTTACTGAGATATTTTATGGAGCACGTTTGGACAGAGCTTGATATTTTGTCCTGTCATGGGGGGGATTTGTCTGTAATAACATGGTGCCAGTAGTCACTATACAAATAATAAAACCCAGTATTTACCCCATCAACCCTTCCCTGCTCTCAGCCGCCCACTCACAGAGCTGTAAAACACTGATAATAAGCACATCTGTGGTAAACCCCGCAGAGGCCCCAATAAAAAGCTGGAGTCCACTCCACAATAGTGACTCAGTGTTAAATAATTACATCATCTTCTGACTTCATCTCGGTGCCGTTACTGCCTCCACCTGCAGCGTAAAAATACAGAAGACCAGAGTCAAGTGAAAGAGTCAAGAATTGTTAGGTGTTCATTTGTGGTTTGTACTGTAGGTGTGGCCGAATGTTTCTGTTCCATCAAACACTTTTATTTACTGTAGCGTAATCACTGTGATTGCATCTGGGCAGTGTACTGTTGATTCAGGCATGTGCACACTGTCCAATGATGACGTTTGACATGCAATGTATGTCACAAGGCTGTTTTACAGTTAATTTGATGAACTCTCTACCAGGGCTGCTGAGTGTTTACCACAATTATTCTATTTTTTTTTACGCGTAACAATCTAATACACAGTCAATACACATGTTAAGTGTTTACCATAATTATTCTATTTTTTTTTACGCCTAACGATCTAATACACAGTCAATACACATGTTAGTGGGAAAGTTTTTCTTTCTCCAAAGTTTTTCTTTCAAAAATTCTTTCAAAATGTGTCTTTCTGTTCTTGTTATATACAGGAAGAAAATACAGTAATTATGTTTAGGAATGTTGATTTGTCCTGATTAATCATGATTAATTAATCAGATTCCTGTGATTACAATTGTAATTTTTTGACAGCCCTAATCCTAACACAATATTAACTGCCCAAATCCGATACTTTATCGGAATCGGAATCAGCTCAGTTCGATATTGGTCAGTTTCAAGAATGAAAATTAAAAAATAAATAAATAAATTACGCCCAAGTACCTAACTCAGCTTTGTGCAACATGCTGTAAACAGAGACACTATCACTTCAGCAAAGGCGACCTGCGGCATGCTGGAGAAAAGATGGTGATTTTTCCTAAGACAGCAAAGGCATCACTGACACTGGTTACTCACTGGTTCGCATCATCAAGTGTCACAGTTTCAAATCTTATATTCCTGCTCCTGCACTGCTAGCAGAGCTGCTGGAAACACGTTTAGACACATGTTTTACACTGGGAAATATAGGTGCAGTGTTATTCAACCTTGGGGTGGCGATCCCACATGGGGTCACCTACAGTTCAAATGGGGTCCACTGAAATGTCTAGTAATTGGTTTTAAATAAATAACTGATAAAATATTTATTTAACCATTTTTTTAACCAAATCCAATTATTAATTTTAACACATCCAACTGAACCTCAAAAAGGTTCAACTGGATGTGTTAAAACACAACCTAAAACGACTGTATCCTCTCATTCTCATGAATATAAACGAGGTAAAATAAAATGCGGCATATAAAAATAGCTGAGCTGGTGCATTTTGATTGACGGCTGCGATCACATGACCGCAGAAGTGACAGCTACTAAAATGTCTCCTGGGTGGCCAGAGACTTGTGATGTCACAAGCCAAAAAAAAAAAGGTAACCATTGTATTAGTGGATCATGTCTACAGTCAGAGCCACGGCATTTCCTGAAGAAGCACTTCCTCTTTGGTGCACGAGAGTTGAATTTCTATCTGCTCCTTAAGTCACTGAGGTGGAACCAGCAGGGTGACATTTCTGCCATGGTGTCAGTGCAGTAACGGATGGTTGGCTGTCACGGCGTCCATCCTTTTACTTCATGAAACCCCAGATCTGGTGAGCAGCACCACAGGATCATGTGAGGACCATTCAAGAACGCTAGTACACCACTGCACAATGAAAGGTGTCAGACAGATTTATTGACATCTGGACGTCTTACACACTGCCACTGGGAAGATGCAGTGCAGTGTGCAGTGCTGCTTCAGCCTCCTCATGCAGAAAGGGTTCATCTCACAGTTCACTTACTGTTAGTGTAGCTGATGATTTAGCTGCGGGCCTGTGTCTTTGCTGAATTGGATACATTGACTGGTGCTCAGTATTGCAGATGTGAGCATTTCTACTGAACGCTGTTTGTCTTGTTTTACCCTGAGCCGAACAGCCAGGAGTCAGCAGATCAGGTTACAAATAAATACATGCTTTAAAAAAATCCTGCTAAATGTATCACTGTGAACAGTTAACTACAGTTTTACCGTTGACTGTCAGAGTAACAAATTGGAGACTAGCTATAATGTTAGCACGATTAACAAGAGGAAGTCAGACAGAGAGAGAGAGAGAGAGAGAGAGGGAGAAAGCTTCTTAACTCAGTGCTTCTCAAGTAGTGGGGCGTGAGGTGTACTGTCTTTATTCATACTTGAACGGTAAACAAGCCTCTGGTCACTAGATGGCAGCAGAGAAGAATCTATTTTAATAGTAATGCAGAATGCTGGTGCCAGCAACTTATACATACAGTGGTTTGTACAGATAAAATGATGAGATCAGGGGTCCCCAACCCCCGGTGCGAGGACCAGTACCAGTCCACAGGTCATTTGGTACCGGGCCACAGTGGGACACAGTGAAACAATGTGCTTCATTTTTACTAATTTACTTCATTTACTTTCTTTATTTAAAGACAATCTGGTCACTCAGACTCTGATACAAACAGAATAGAGTCTACAAGATATTTTATTAAAATGTAATGATCCTTCAAAGCTCAGGACCTTGCTTGCGGTTCCTAGTACTGGCTGACCAGTCCTCGGAACCAAAAAGTTTGGGCACTGCTGGTATAGATGTAACTACTCTATAACAGACTAATACATTTCATTTCTTATTATTTATTCAAGTTAAAAATATTATTCATTGCTGTGTAAAAAAAAAAAAGTAAATTCATAGGTTAAGAAACTCTACTGCATGTATTTTACTAAATGCTTTTTGAGCTCCAGCGGGCCACACAAAACTGCTTGGCGGGCGCACAAAACTGCTTGGCGGGCGGCATTTGGCCCCCAGGTCTTGAGTTTGACACGTATGCTCTATGTGGTTCCAATTGAATTTTACTGAGGTGTTTTTTTATTTGGATTTACCTCATGCTTATGCATGGAAAAGCTGTCAAATTTATAGAGCAACCGCCTTCATTTGCATTTTTACTGCACACTCCACTACCATGTTTCAGGGGCTCATTGATTCTCTCTTTTTTTTACTTCCCCCTTCTCTCTGTGTCTTCCTCTGCAGCAGCTTCCAGTGCAGCAGTCCCTTGGTGCTTGCGTCTGCCGGGAGTCCCACTGGCGCTGCCTGCTGCTCTCTCTTCTCATGTACAGCTGTGTTGGCGTCGTGGCGTGGTGCCAGCTCACCCGCGTCACCAAGATCAGCTTCAACTCTGCCCTCACCTCCTCATTTGCGTCCTCCTTCACCTCCTCCCTGAGGGGAGGATCAGGGATGGGCGTCACAGGACACTCCATGATTTACCACGACAGTCCCTGCTCCGACGGCTACATCTACATCCCCCTGGCCTTCCTGGTCATGCTCTATGTGCTGTACATGGTGGAGTGCTGGCACTGCAGGGCCCGCAGTGAGCTGCAGTGCAAGGCCAATGTGGACAGCGTGTATGAGCGAGTGCTGAGGATGAAACAGGCCCAGCCCTGCATATGGTGGAAGGCTATCAGCTACCATTTTGTGCGGCGGACCCGGCAGGTCGTCAGATACCGCAACGGCGACGCCTACACCGCCACGCAGGTGTATCACGAGAGGGTAAACACGCATGTGGCAGAGGGAGAGTTTGACTTCAGCCACTGTGGGATGAAAGACGTGTCACGTGACCTCAAAGGCTTAGATGGACACCCCGCCACCCGCCTGCGCTTCACTAAATGTTTCAGCTTCACAGAGGCAGGGCCAGAAAACGACTACCTCAACCAGAGGGCCAGGTTCTTCTCTGAGATCGAGGGTCTGGACGACTACATGGAGGCCAGGGAGGGGATGCAGCTGAAGAACGTGGACTTCAGAGAAAACCTCATAGCCTTTGTAGATCCTGACACGATGCCTTGGTACAATTCCCAGGTGGCATTCTGGCTGGCAGCTCTGTTCATGCTGTCGTGGCCGCTGAGAGTGCTCATAGAGTACCGCACTGCTTATGTGCACTACCGCATAGAGAAACTATTTGGGTTAGAGTACAGCCACAGTAGCCCGTCTCCAGGGAACGAAGTCCGACCAGCGGGGAATTACTCCGGTTGTGCTATTCCCAGAGTTGACACACTGGACAGCACTGAGATGGAGTGGCACATCCGCTGCAACCGGCAGGTGATTCCCAGCTACTCTGAGGCCATGCTGATCAACATGAGCACAGCAGACTCTGACTCGCTCCACGACACCGAGTGCACCACGTCCTCCAACTGTTACCTGCTGGACAGCAGCCAGACTCCACAGAGTTACGGCGCTTTCCAGAGACAGGACGAGTGCGAGCAGTGCAACGAGCTGACGGGACAAGGAACCGCAGCAGGAGACAGGAGGACGACCATCACCAGCTCCAGCTGCTCTTCCATCTTCTCCTGTCGGGGGGCGCTGTTCCAGTCCCACCTCTCTTCAGACACTTCTCGCTTGTCTCTCTGCCGCGTGTACGGGTCCCACCGCTCCGTGGCGCTGTGGAGGAGCCACAGCAGCAGCCTGACGGACCCGTGCTGCGTGGACGAGCAGTGCTGCAGGTCAGAATCCAGCCAGCTAGCCCTCAGCGACAGTCCGCCCACTTACAGGGACGCCCGTTTCTTCCCGGTTCTTATCGTGCATCGGCCCGAGGGCTGCAGCGGTGACGACAGGAGGGAGGCGCGGCGTTATTATATACGCAGAGGGTCATTCTGTGCAGACACTTCCATGTAAACGATGGCAAGACGGGAAATGTGCGATAACGGATGGTGCTGTAGTGATGCTCACTATTTAATGATGAATGGGGAACATTTGTCAAAAAAATACCAGTGCAGATATGCAGCAAAAAACAGCTCCATTATTTAACCTGTAATAAGTGCACTGATATTTTCTCACTGTCTGTTTGTGTGTGAGTGTGTGTCTGTGTGTGTGTGAGAGGGTGTTTAAAAAGTGGAATCCAGTCATTTTCAACACACCAGGCTGTTGTTTGAGGTCACCCAGTGGTGTGAAGAAGGCTAACTGATGACCAGGTTTCCTGTTCCTCCTGTGTTAAGTCACCTCTACCTTTTGCCTCTTGACATCCTCAATATATCACTACAGGTGCTATGCAACAATAACTGGATCTTTATCAGACACCACTGCATGTGTTTAGCTCACTATGAGAGCAAAGTCTGACAAGATCAAGTAGAAAACCTCTTTACGTCCGGATGACTTTCTGTACATGATGACCTTAAACAACAGCGCTGTTTGTTGGAAATGCAAGAATTCTATTTTAAAGATGTTCTAATTGCCTTTTTTCCCCCAATAAGTAAACAAACATGATACTGCATGATCTGATTGGTCCTATTATTCTGGAATTGTCAAACATCTTAGAAAAATGTAAGAATTGTCAAACAAAAAGGGAATTTGCATGTTGTTACCAGTTGTGTTGTTTTTTTTACTTACATGCAGCAACATTAAAACCAAAGATGTACATACTCTGCGTTTTTATTTATTTGCATGCGTTAGGAAATAAAGGATATTTAATTTAATCGTTCACAGAATTCTGTTATGCACAACCTGCTAAGACGCTGTGACAGAATTAACCACTGGGTGTCGCTGCATAATTGCTTGTTGAACATAACAGGAAGCGTTCAAACAAAGTTACTATTATATGCAGATTATTTTATTTCACTATTCATGTTCAGCCTATTTTTAATCAATAATAGTTATACATTTACTATAAATAGCCAACATTTAAGTAATATAAAGTAATAAATAAAAAGGTGTAAAATAAATAGTATTTTTGTTATTTATTAGGTTTAGGTTTAGGTTTATTGAGACAGATTTAGCGTGAATATATTCTTTTCTTTAAGCATGTATTCGATTCTTGTAACATTCTTTGTAATATAGAATAGAATAGTCTTTATTGTCATTATGTTCGGTTAAAACAACAAACACGTTTTTTGCTTTGATTAAAGTTCACATAATTAATTGCATAGAATATTTCTAAATTGTTTATTTTGATTCCTTCATTTCCAAAACTCTGTCGTGGTCCTCACAACGTCACTGTAACCTGACGTCACTTCCTGCGCGCGAGACTTCACGCTAATCCCTGCTAACGGCACAAATGTCTTCTAAAAACTGTGTAGTTGGTTCAGTGTGTGTTTAAATATCGCCACCCAAAACTCCCGCTGTCCTCGGCACAGGAAGTGTCCCACCGTGGGACAGCACGCAGGCTCCCGGGGCGGACACTGAGGGGCAGCTTTGGTTTGTTGTTGACATCCTTGACGATCACGGATGTGGCTCCAGTTTTTGACAGTAACTTCACAGCTAGCGTTACTTTTGGCGGAAGTTTTCCTCCTCTGAGTAAAACATTCAGATCAGACGTTTTTTTTTCATCCAGGGTGAATTTCGTTTCCCTGGTCAGACTTCAGGATGAAGCTGCAGTGTGATGTCGAGGTGGTGAATCGCATGCTCCCCACGTTCGGGATAAAGAGTCGGGGAAAGGGAACTCGAGCGGTTCTGTCCATCGGAAAACATTTGGACAAGACGAACCAGCGCTGCAACGTCTACATGATGATCTGTACGGCCAAAGACAGATCAGGCTCCAAGTACAAGGTCTGTGTGTTTGACATACGTGCTTTTTAATCTGTGATTTATGAGGTCCACGAGGCACAAGATAATTTTGATTTTGATTTAGCGATAATTCAATATATATCGCGATATAGATCTATCAGTAACATAGCGTTCTATGTTGTTTCTCAAATATTAAAATTCCACCTCCAGTGACTTTGATCAATGACCAAATACAAATATTTAGGCTTTACTCAACATTGCACTTTTTATAAATATTAACTGAAGCATTGATATACGTATCTGTACGTTACGACAACACTTCACATGTGCAGTATAGTACACAACTGTACTTTAGATAGAATTTAACAGCAGCACTCAGCAAGACTAGACTGCTTAATCTAAGCCAATATATGAAACGTATGCAAATGACTCCAGTCATCAGGTGACCTACAATAAACTCAATTTGAAAAACACTTCTCGTTGGACCTGTCCCTTACAATTGAGAGTCCTAATGTCATTAAACATGCTATGTAGGTATCATAGGGATAGTAATATATATATATATATATATATAATTTTTCTCTTACACATTGAATGCATCAGCAGTGTTTCCCATTAATTGCTGAGACTCTGGCTCTCTCTTGAGCATTAAAAAAAGTAATGATAATAAACAGTATTTGCCTTATTTCAGTCAGCCCACCCCACAGCTGTGGTTGGTCAGAGGGTGGGGGGGGGGGGGCTTTTCCAACCCCCACCACAGAGTCTTAAAAACTTGTGGGAAACAGTGCATCAGACATTGTCTTTTTTTTCCGTCTGTTGTCATAGTACCCACGTTTATGGAGCGCCTGAATATAGATAGGTCAATTGTTGAACCCCCGCCCCATTAAATCCTAACCTAAATTAAATTAAAAAATTAAATTAAATCCAACATACTTATGTTACTGTTACTTTACTAATCCTAATTTAAAGTCTCGTAGACAACACTAATCTAAGGTTTTTTTATTCCTTATGAAACATTTTCGGTTTGATTGCCCAGTGAGGCACTGGTGATCAGTGGTCATGCGGTGTAACATTTGACTGTTGTGACTCCTTCTCCTGGTGAAGGTGGTAAACAAGACAAAACAAAGTTATATTTTTAATCATAACATTTATTTCTCCACAACCTGGACTGAACATTAAAGTTACGTACAATACTCTCTGTCTGGTTATTACAACAAACAGGCTTTAAATTTGAACTTAATATCAATGGCAGTATTATCAATTTATCAGCAGTATTTTTTTGTGTTGGTGTCACACGCTGTTTTAAACACTGAATTATTAAGTCCTCTCCTCCCAGCCTGAAAACCACAAACGTATTATTTTTCACAGTCTGACACATCACTCTCTGACCCTGATCTTAATCCTCTCTGTAAAAGATTAAGACGCGTCATGTCACAACATGTTCAGTCAGTGAATAGTCACCTGACGTGAAGATGTGAAATGTATTTTTCCACTGCTGACAGTTGCCAACATTCTCTTACAGCTGAAGGGCAACATAGAGAAGTTCTTCACATGGTTCGTGGAGGAAGGCAAAGCCACCGTCCGACTGAAGGAACCCGCTGTCGACATTTGTCTGAGCAAGGTATGACCTACATGAAGTCATTTCATCAGTCTGAGTTTTTCCTCTTTTTTTTTTTAAGTGAAAATAGGAAACAACAAGACAGAGTTCTATCAATGTTTACTCCGCACGTAGAGAGGACAACAGTGTCTCCTCACTCTCCGTCTCACACAGGTTGCTTTGTCTGTTCTATATACATCACAGCAGCTTCATTGTTTCCACTCTCTCTGGCAAGTGCTTCTGCTTGTTTGGTTGCAGTGGTGAGCTTTCACACTCATACAGTTCAGCCTGGCTCACAGTCAAAAACACTCACACCCACAGACTGACTGTCACCACGTGACTCTGGTGAGCAGGGAAAACAAGTCCTTTTAACAAAGGCCTTCTCAAAACAGGAGGGTAAGAAAGTTCCCCGAGGCATCAGGAGGAGTTTCCCCGGCACATCTCATGATGGGGGCTTTAAATAACCTAGAAAAATAAATAGACTGCTAAATACATTTTCACTTTCAGGATACTATATTTTACGGTTGAACTTTGTTTGTATGATGTTCCGTGATAATCAGATGTTATATGTAACTATTATTTATTTACTGTTAATTACAGTTTTGTTCAGCTTTACCACAGTAAAAGTTAGAACAGTTAAATACTGTTCCACTAGGTGGCAGCAGATGGTTATAAACACTAAAAAAAGAGAGCGACTCAGAGTTGTTGAAGAAGATGTTTGCGTTTGTCTTTCTTTAATTCTAGCAAAAATATCAGGGTGGTGAAATCGTCCACCGCTATAACCTCAACACTTACGCAGATGACACCCAACTCTACATTAGCAAAAAATCCTCTCCTCACCCTCCCCCGTCTTTGGTCAACTGCCTTCACGATATAATATATTATATATATAATATATTATATTATATAGTATATTATATTGTGTATTATATATATATAATATAGTATATTATATCGTATATTATATATATATAATATAATATATTATATATATAATATATTATATCATGAATTAACTAAAACTCAACAGCGATAAAACCAAAAACCAAGCTAAAGGTGGGGGCCCCCCGAAGACCTTGCTCCCTAAGGTCGGGGACCTTTTCCTGTTGATCAACGGTTCCACCATCTCCCCATCCTCTCAGGACCGTAACCTCCCCCCAGTACCTGCTCGACCTCCTACATCCCTACTCCCGAGCCCGGACTCTCCGCTCCACTGACTGACTTAAGCAGAAAACAACAGCTGAATAAATCTAGAAAAAAAAAATTTCCACATAATCTGTACCTTTTACGTGTTTATCCATTTCTAGGCAGATGCAAACAGCTTGAAAAACTTCCTCTCGGCCGCTCGTCTCGCAGACAAAGGTAGTGACACCAGCAGTCTCCCCCTGTCCACTCTCACCCCCGTCAGAGCCAGAGACGTGGAGCAGCCCAAGAAGAAACTGACCATCGTGTCTAAGAAGGACTACCCTCTGACCTCTAACTTCCCCTACTCCCTGGAGCAGCTGCAGGTGTCCTACTGCAGGCTGTCGCGCGTGGACATGAGAATGCTGTCGCTCAAAGGTAAAGTCGGTCCAATTTTAACCCAACACTTTTTTTACATTCCAAGCTTTAAAGAGAAATTACAAAACATTAAACTGAGTTTAAAGGGATAGTTCATCATATTACATGCTTGTTCTGGTTTTTAAAACCAAATCCTAGTTGCAGTTTTTTATTTAAAAAAAAATCCTCTATGACCGTTTTCCAAGGACTGAACTTATGGGTTTTTGCTGATGGTTGTGTTTTAGAAAGTCAGTGTGAGTAAAGATGGCGGGAGGAAGTAGCAGTCAGCAAAAAGGTGAACTCAGTTCACTGCTGTGATGTCAGCCATACTGAGCATCTCCAACTAAATGTAAACACAGAGTTACTAACTATCAATTAATATTTACAGTAAACAAAAGAAAAATTGGCAAACCCAAATAAACGTCCTCAGCATTACAGCTGCCAATAAAAGACATGTTACAAAATATGGAAAGAAATGTATTTTCTTACTTTTATTTACTATTCAATAATTATTACATTTGTTTAGTAGAAGAGAATTATTAACAAACGAGTTTTCAGTGTTGCTCTGCTCCTTTACTCTTTTTCTGGTCAAAGACCTGTTCATTTTGCACCAGCTTGAGGAGCAGAGCAGCTTCATAACAGGCACAAACTCATGCCTAAATTGCAGCTGTCACACAAGGTGTATTCAGGTACCATTGGAAACTTGAGAATCCAGTGATTACAGCAGGTTACATGTTTTTCAGCTAAGGATATAAGGTTATAAAAAAAATAAAAAGTTAGTAGAATCTTTTTTTTTCTTATCTTCCCTCCAATTTTCTGAATTACCCCTTGTGGTCCCCCAGGGGGCACTAAACTACTGATTTTAGCTTTTGTTTTTTTTTTGTTTTTTTTGACAGTATTTTAATATGCTGTCATTTGAAGGGACAGTTTAACATGAAGGTTTAAAGGAAAATATCACCTTTATTGTTCTTAATGTTCAGTAAGAAATCAATAATCATGTTCAATAATCATGATGATGATTTCTGTAATCAAGCAGCTTCAACAGAACCTTCAAACTCCTGCATTAAAAGGTGTGTTCATTATTATTATATTATTTTTAAAGCCTTTTATTATCTTCTTCTTCTTCTTATTTTGCAGCTCTCAGGAAGCTCGACCTCAGCAACAACCACATCAAGAAACTCCCCGCCACCGTCGGTGACCTCAGCTGCCTCTCTGAACTCATCCTCCACAACAACCATCTCGAAACCTTCAGCGACGCCCTCTGCCTGTCCACCCTGCAGCGGTCCCTGCAGGTCCTGGACCTCAGCCAGAACAGACTGCAGTTCCTGCCGGCCCAGTTCTGCCAACTCAGAGAACTGGTGAACCTGAAACTGGACGACAACTCGTTGGTTTGTTTGCCGTTCCACATCGGTCGACTCTCAAAGTTGAGGTTTCTGTCGGCGGCTCACAACCAGCTGGCCGTGCTGCCCAGTGACTTTCGCAAGCTCAGTCTGGAGAACTTGGACTTTTTCGGAAACCCATTCATCCAAGCCAACGCTCTGGACCATACCATGGAGCTCACTTTCCCTCTGTCACTGCAGGAGATGGCCTCCAGGGCGGTGTCCAACCACAGGTAAGATCCTCCAGGTCTTCACCGTTTCACCTGTTATTTCTGACTCTCAGGTTCTAACTCAGTTCGTTCACCTCCCAGGTTACCATACGGGCCTCACCTCATCCCGGCCCACTTGTGTCAGGACCTCGAACGAGCGAAGACCTGCGGCTGTGGCCGCGTCTGCGTCAATTTCTACATCAAGACGGCGGTCAGTATGAACCTGCACCAGGTCTCTCACACGGTGGTGCTGGTGGACAACATGGGCGGCACAGACGCCCCGGTGCAGCAGCATTTCTGCTCCCTCTCGTGTTATTCCGAGTTTTTAGACAATTCCTTCCAGAGAGGAATCAGATGAACAGGTTTTACTGACGGGTGGAACAACGAGGGACAAAACACAGGTCTCTGACTGTGGTGACTCTGTGTCAGAGCTGAGTTTTTTTACATTGACATTGAACTAATAACACTCAGCCTGCTGAGTCACACAGCGCCCTCTACTGACCTCATTCTGCAGTATAAAGGCAGCAGGATAGAGACTGTTTAACACACACAGTGTCTCAGGTTGTTGTTTTTTTTTTATCGTGTCATGACCTACAACGTTATATGTTCAATTAAATAAAAGCATTTATTGTCGTGTTTAATGTCAGTTAATACAATTAAAAACACTTTTATTTGTTACTCAATGAGAGACATCAAAGGGTTTTTTTCCCCCAAGGGTTGCAAAGGGTGGCGGTTATCACACCTGCCTTACATGCAGAAGGACTTGGGTTCGAACCCCAGAGAAACCACATACCTGACATCAGTGAAAGTCTCATTATTATTATTATTATTATTATTTAACTGTAGTAAAGATGTTTGAAGTGTCCCTCGATCACACCTGATGACCCGACGGAGGCTGTATTTTCAAAATAAAATTCAAAATATAATCAAAATAACAAATAATTTCCTCAGGGCTCCAGGGTGAACAACAGGTCGTTCTGGAAGACGAGCCCCGTACGTGTCGTATAAAACCCTTGAACCTTTTCATTTCCCTCTCCATCTTCGTTTCTCCGCGCTCCTGGAGGAGGATCGATGTCACTGCGCTGAAAGACCTGCTCTGTCTGCAAGTCGTCCTCATCCATTTCCTCCATCTCCATCGGCTTTTCTGAGCCTGGAACACTGCAGACATCCTCGTTTTCTCCCTCAGTCTGTGGTGAAGTGCTGCAGAGCTGAGAGATGTTCTGGGGTAAAGATGTCGTTGTTGTTGGACATGAACCACTGGTGGTCGGACTGAGAGATGGAGCATCTGTGAAGCTACAACGTTAAAAAAAAAAAAAGTCAAAAATGAAATATTTTACGAGTTGTTTTCAACTTTCAGCACGATTGTCAGAACTTTTCCTACCTTTACTTTTTCGTCGTTGTTTCCAGCACTTTCCTGTGGTGAGTAAGAGTTTAACTCAACCTCCTCTCGGATGGAAGAAACTGAGTCAGTTCCTAAAGTAGATGGATTTTTAGAAAGTTCTTCCTTCCCCTTTTCTTGTTTCTGCTTTTTAATTTCCTTTTTTCCATTTTCACAAATCTCATCCGGTTTGGGGTCATCACCTCTCTCCTCCCCCGCACTTCCCCTGTCCTCTTTGTTCTGCGTTTCTGGTTTTAGCTCCTCCTCACTTTGTTTACTTTCCTTCTCATCTTCCTCCTCTGTGTCCTCCACTTCTCTCTCCACCTTTTCTTGCTCCTCTTCTTCATCTTCTCCTTCTGTCTTTATCTCCTCCACTGATATCTCCACCTCCTCATGTTTCCTTAACTCTTCCTCCCTGACCTTTACCCTTTGTTCACCCTCTTCACCATTTGGGCATTTAATATTTTGATGTTCTTCATCGTCTACCTCACTGTTTCCCAACAACGATTGCTCCCTCGCCTCCTTTTCATCAACTTCTTCCTCCCTATTGACCTCCTCCTCCTCTACACTCGTATCCACCTCTTCAGCATCACTACCTTCCCTCCTCCGTTCTTCCATCATTTCCTCCCCGCTTTCCGCAGTTTGCTCCCCGTCTTCACTTCCTCTAACATTTCTCTCCTCCATCTTTCTCTGAGATCTCCATCCCTCCTCATCTCCATCATCTCTGACCTTCTCCTCCTCCTTCATCTCCTCCTCGTCTTCATGACGACAAATCTCCTCCACACCTGAGTGACTTCTCTGACCGTCACTGACGTTCATTCCATCCCACACCTCCTTGGATGGGAGAACAGGCAGCGTGACGCTCAGCTGTCCTCTCTGTTTGTTGAACTTGGCCTCTCCTCCGTCTTCGTCCACAGGATAGGCCAAGGGCAGCTCCAGCCTGTACGCTGGATCCTTGGACTCCAGCAGGAGGCCTCGTTCTTTCACCTCCAAGCTGGTGTCCGCGATGGACTTCAGCAGTGGCACCTCGATGGTGACCAATATCTCTTTGGGCCTGGGGCTCACGGCCGAGTCTCTGGAGCATCTGTAGTCCTGCAGGTCCACGAAGGATCGGTACTTCACTGTGTACCTGGGCTTTGTCGGTTCTGGGGGTTTCTGAGGTTGGATCTGGAGGCTGACGGGTTTGGAGTTGCTCTTGTTGGTTGTGGCTGGTTTTTTTTCATCGGGGAATGGGAAAGTTAAAGGGTCGGACTTGTCTGAGGGATCCTGGGGTTTGTGTCCAGGTATTGGTTTTCTGATAACACAAGCCTGAGGCGTACCCTTGTACTTGGTTTTCATTTGCCGCAGGTTGTTTCTGTCCAGAGTCACTTTGAAGGAGTCCTGGATTGCTGAGATGGCCGTATTGTCCACCATGTCCATGAATCTCTGGTTCTTGCCTGCTAGGTGGAGGGTGTCGGGGTGGAAGACCACGTCATAGACGACGATCTTGTTTCCCTTTGGGTTCGTGTCTTGTCTGCCTGGGTGCAGACTGTGAGGCAGAGACCAGCGCTGACCTCTGCGGCCTCCCTCTGAAACGCCACTCTGACACTGAGGTTTACCCACTTTCTCACTGGAACAGATGTTGATGAAACACTTGTGTTTACCGTCCACGCTCGTCCTGAGACACCTGTACGGCGTCGGGTGGATGAACTCCACCGTGTTTCCTCTCTCCTGCTCCAGGAGTTGGATCTCCTTCTCGTACTGTCTCCTGTTCTCGGGGTCGGATATTTCTTGTGCGTACTCGCGAAACATTTCTCTGAATTTCTCGTCTTTGAACGCCTTTCTCAGCCTGTCGGCTTCCTCCGTCGTAACGTTCAATTTGTCCGGATTTTCTTTGGCACTCATGGCGATAACAGCGACTTGAAGCACCCGCTAGAAAATACAAAATATGTTTGCTATTGTTTTCCTAAAAAATGATGTTGTTGTTGTAATTTGCGGCGATGAAAGGATTCACAGCTTTAAACAAACTTCTCGGTTGTATGTTGTCACCATAGCAACGCGTGATAAAACGGTGTGGCTGAGAAATGTCTCCCCCCAGAAACAAACCCTGGCACGTAATTTGATTATTTTATTCAACTAAAAACATTACCCGTTTGTAAAATAAAAATGACCAGCCACATTCTTTATTTTATTACTTAATTCGTGTATCTACTGACAGTTAAATATGTTTGATATTAACATGTAGACTGCGTAAATGACGGGAACTCTTCTAAAAAGAAATACATGTTCGATGGTAAATTAATCTGCCATTCAGATCATTTTCAATCTCGAAAGAATATATTATAATAACATAACACACATTTCCACAGCGCTGTGAAGATTCAATATATTTGTGTATACTGTATTTCTATTGTTCAAAAAGACCCTACTGCACAATATATTCTTTCCTTTACCAGCAGGTGTCGTTGCAGATCACCACTAAAAGTGTTCACAGCCTGTGAATGTCGGTCAGTAAAACAAAGAGGCGGGTATATAGTGGAGAGCGGTGATTGGTCGCACCCCCAACACTTCATATTTCTGAGTATGTGATTGGAAGGGGGTTCGCTGTTGCTAGGTGTGGGACTGCTGCTTATTATATATGTGTAGGAGAGCCGGAGAAAGAGGAGGATTGGGATGAGGATTCGGATAATGTTTGATGTTTAATGTTATTCTATTATTAACATCTGCTTAAATATTTTTGAGATGTGCTTCTCCGGGGTCTGGGAAATGCATCTTGGGTAATTACCCTCGACTTTGGGCGCACTAATCACAAGAGCTTGTGGGAGGTGAACAAACGAATCAAGAGATTTTTGGTTGTATAAATCTCAGCAGTGTGTTACGCAACAAGCTCAAGCTCTGTCTGCTTCCTTCGGTGAGACAGAGCCCAGGATTCCAACCACCCGTTAAATAACCCGGGCTAAAGGACACAATGTCCTGGCAAGGTGTCACCGAAAGAGCCGGGAAAACAAAGTGATTTTTCATTAATTCGACCAACAAGACTACTCACAGACTAGTCAGCACATTTTAAAGGACAGGAGTCTGAGTGGTTAAGACAAGGGGAGGCGCTGCTGATGGTGGGGGCGGTGCACAGTGACGCACACAGGATGAGGACACTTACTGCATGAAACAACCAGGACTTCTGCTGACTTTACTGTGATCCGGGGCCTCATTGTCCCGGGCTTACTTAGATCAGTAATGATGTGAACAACAAAGTGTCATTTAATACTTTTTTTATTACAAATATGTATTAAATAATATGAAAAGTTAAACAGAGTGATATAATCAAGGTGTAATCATAATATCATTGATTAATATTCATATTTACATTTTTAAAGTCAATATTTTCCCCAATATGACAAATAAATGCATTCCATACGACACACAATACATTCACATAGACATATACTGTATATATATGTGTATATATATATATCAATATTAACACAAATAAAGTGTTGAGGGAAGTTGGGAGGTGAAATGAGTAAGACAAACTTCATACAAAGGCTTTGGCAAGGATGCATACAAATTAGAATTATGTAAACAAATCCTTTTAAGGAAAACGCATGTACAAATTAAAAGTAGAGAAGAAAAACTAAAGTCCAGTGCATTTTTATTTTCTCATTTTCATGAGTGAAAAAGAAGCAGCGTGTGTGCTTGGCTACTTCCTGTGTCCCTGTAGCATCTTGGGAGAAGGTAGAATGGCAGTGTTCATTGTCTACTTTGAACTGGCAGGTACCAGCATGCTCAGCGTGGGGAGGCCTGGCTTCGTGGCCGGCGTTTTGCCAGCTACCACTTTGTTCAAACTACGAATGTCAGCCTGCCAGGAAGGAATTTTCTTTGTGCTCATGTGACGTCGTGCATGTTTGGTGAGGTGATCGCTGCGCATGAACCGCCGGTCACACACGGGGCAGACAAACTTCTTTTCGCCGGTGTGCGTTCGCCGGTGCCTGGACAGCTCGTCGGAGCGGGCGAACCTTTTATCACAGCCGTCCCAGCTGCAGCTAAAAGGCTTCTCACCTATGTTAGGGAGACAAACAGGAAGAGTTTGTTGAGTCAGTAAATGAGTCACATCCAGGTCATCAAAAAGTTTCATGCATCACAGTGCCTCTTCATACACTAAACAATGAACTCACTCTTACCATTAGCAACAACAAGTCCAAAAAAGGAGTGGTTTACAAACAGGATGTAACACACACTCCTAACACGGTCACGAGGTCAGTGTGTTTATGAACGCTCACCTGTGTGTGTTCTGAGGTGAGCCTTCAGGTGGGAGCTCTTGAAGTACGTCTTCCTGCAGCCTGGGAAGTTGCAGACGTAGTTTCTCCTGCGGGAAAAGTCCATCTTTGTGGGTGCAGTGCTGTTACTGGCCCCTGCAGGCACGTACACGGGGGCCGGGGCCAGAGGTAGCAGCTTGGTGTTGCCCAAGGTCATGACAGTCTGAGGGCACTGAGGGGCCCGAGTGACCGAGGATTGAGGAAGAACCAGCATCACTGTGCCCTGGGCCACAGCTGAGCTCACGATGAGAGGCTGCTGAACAGTGGTGGCGTTAGCTGAGGTGGGCTGAGGCAGGATGGGTGTGGTGCCGCCCGCGATTCCAGTACCCGAAGTCTGAACCTGGCTGGGGATGAAGGCTGAGATTATCCCTGATTGGCTGCTAACAGGGAACATCTGGCAGATGATTTGAGGGCTTCTGACTACAGGTGGGGACAGGGTGGTGGCTACACAGGGAGGTTGTGGGCTGTTTAGCGGTTGGCTGTTGGGAGGGACGGGGGCGGAGACACTGTCCAAACACTGTTTTGAGGGACTGGGCTGTTGTTCTGAATTGGAGGGTGTGAGAGGAGCAGGAGGAGCGGGAGGTGAGGTTATCTGCTCAGTGTGTGTGATGTGCTGCTGCTGCTGCGGCTGACAGACCATTGTAGCCACAACTGTGTCTGTAGTTTTTTCTTGACTGGGGGCCAATGGAATGTGGTGCTGGCAGGGGGTGCTGTCTGCGGTGTGGCGGATGACGCTGGTCGCCATAGCTCGGCAGGGCTGTGGCGGAGGTGGGAGGGTCGGGGCTTTTTCAGCAATGAGTGCCAGGAAAGGTTGATGGAGACCCGAGCCACAGCGCTGTGAGGACAGAGCCAGGCTTGACTGTGGGCCAGCGCTGGATGTGGAAGTTTCAACAAAGCTAGGGCTGTGAGGAGGAGTCATACACTAGAGAGAGATAAAAAGGAAAGTGAAATTAAAGTTTACTCAGTGTATGTAAATATACTACAAGTAACAAGGAAGTACGTTGAAGTTTCGGTATTACAATTCCAAGCTATAAACTAAGATTTTTATGATCAACATTCACAAACCTTGACCTGAAAGTCTGTTTGTTTCATAACGTACCTTCCATAAACCCAATTTCTTTCAAATAAAACCAAAAGTCTACAAAATATTATTATTATAATATTTATCTTGACATTCAAAACTAAGATTTACTGTGACATTATACTCACTAATGATTCAATGTTCATTCCTTTCATTAACTTTCACTTTCAATAATGACACACACTATCATGTGCATTGAAGTGGAGCCTCTTACCAAGGAGGAAAGAGACACAAAGTCCTTTGGGACTTCTGGAATTTCTGGCGGCAGGAGGGAGTCACAGGAGTCTGAAGCTGGGGTGAGGGGTCTGGGCTTGCAGGGGCTTGGCCTGTTGGTGCCCAAGAAGAGGCTCTGGCCCCACGAGCTCATGCACACCAGCGCTTCAGCTGCTTCCAGGTCTGTGTACTCCAGACCAGAGGTTCCACTGGAGACAGACAGTTCACTGTCGTGCCTACGCCTCTTTGAAACAGAGCCACAGTGGTCCATGTACTCAGTCTGCAAAAGGAAACAGTAAACAAACATTCAAAATGTGAAGAGAGGCTGCATTTATTCAACAATGCTGGGCCTCTTTGTGTATAATAGATTCTGATACATATGACAACGACATGAATGTAAACAGGAACAAAGTTGGCCCTGGTTTTAACCATAACAGAAAAGTGCACATGTTGAAATTTCCAGCTCCTTCCCTCCTCCAGTATTTCAAGTTCCCGGGCCAAACTAAAGAACGCTGCCAATAAGGAACTTGGCTTAATGGTGACTTCACCTCAGCCCAGCATGCATTGCCTCTGGATACAAGCCAGGACGCCTCCCATTGCCAAATATAGACCAAACAGTGACGTGCTGCCGAGATGAGCCATGTGAAATCCCCATAAAGTGGGTTTAGATCAGGAAGTGGGCTTTATAACTTCGCAACTTTCAATAAAATGCGTGTTTCTAAAATTCCATATAAAAATTCACATTTATCTATAACAAAGCAATCAGGTGACAACAGAGGTCTTTCTCACCTGTTGAAATTATTTTACACCGTTGACATTGTATGTAAGAGCAGTGTAACAATGTAAGTACAAAAAAAAAATAGTACAATTATTTTGGCATCCCGTTTATTTAAATGTGACAGTTACTACAAATAATATATTGTTGTTTTTTCTTGCCTGTTAGAAATTTCACAGCCGTCCTGTAAACAACCCGGTTTTATACAAGCACTTATGAGGGGAAAACACAAATAAAAACGGATAAAAATTACAAGCTTACCCCGTGGAACTCCATATCCGTGAATTTACGCGACGTCATAGAAAACAAGAAGATTTAAATGTGACTTTTTTCTGCTCGTTGTCAAAGCCAGTGTAGAACAAAGAGACGGCGGTTGCCAGTTCTGCTGCCGCTTCTACTGCTGCTTGTCCTCGGCTAAGGGTTGAGGAGCGTTTTTTCTCCTGACTGGCTGCCTTTTCTCTCAGCTGTGTGTGTAAAACACAGGGAGGAGGGCAGAGGAGGGGAAACAGAAAAAAAGAAAAGAAAAACAAAACTCACAAACACGCACTGGCGGGTGGCAACACTCAACCAATCAGAGGCCAGTGTGTGCAGAGCTCAAGCCAATGTGAGCGCAGTCAGCGCGTGAACACTGCGTGCTCGCAGGACGGTTGGAGGAAATAGGGTGCGTGGCCGTTGGTGGGCGTGGCCGCGGAGTCAGCAGTGTCAGGGTAAACCCGATGAACTGCCAGCAGCTAAACTAGGCAAAAGGTCGATTGAGTCTATGAGGCGTTCAAGGAGTGTGGGAAATATGCAGCACTGAAAGACTTCGACAGCGGGAAAACTGTAAACAAGTTAGGTAAGGGAATATTCGTTTTTAGCGAAGGTAGATATGTTTCTGGTATACTATTTCGACATATTTACGTCCGTTATATTATATGTTAGTAATACCTTCCATTTTTTGCTAGAACACAAAGTCTTCAAAAGAGGAACACCAAACAGTACATCCAATCCCATTTCATGTAGGCACTTAAGTTGGGCAACAATTTTTGAAACTGAAATGAATAAGCAGAAATGAAATAGAAAATAGTTTACTCGGTGTCTCAACACCCAATAAACTATTAAAACAACAACATAGAGTTACCCTAATGTACTAATTGAGGTTTTAATTACTCCAGAATGAGGATAATTTAGTTCAGGAGCAGGTTTTCCCTATGTAGGCAGCCATCTTGGAATGCTACATTTTACCTATCAAACGTATCAAAACAATTACTGAGATGATAATTGCCGGCAAGTGTTTGTTCTTCTAACTGAATATGTTGTGGGAAAAGTATGGGCTGTTTTATTACTACGTTTCAATGTAAATTAACAGTAGACAGAGCTACAATGTCATTGTTTCCCGTGTCTGTCTTCAGAATATAATGAAAATATATGTTGTTTTACTTAGTTGGTTTAATAGTGGTTGTATTAATGAAATTAATGAAAACATAAACCAAATATTTTGGCTCCCTGTGACGACCTTTCATACATTGTTTGTTGTTCTGGCTGTTGAATATATTTTAAAATATATAAAATTTCTGCTTCAATACAGAAAATGTATCTACCATCCTTTTATAAAAGCTTTCAACAACGTTCCGTATGGCCTTTGTTGTACAGGGTTTATTTATAGAAATATATATTTATTTCTACTCCATGTAATGCTGTTGGAAGTGATGGTAAATGTTACAATATACAACTCGTATTCATATGTTGTCAGTGTTTTTTCAGTTCATTTTAATTCAGGTAAAACCTATATAGAGGTGTCTTTGACAATGAATATAAACCAACTGCAGTTGTTAACTATGAGTTTCAGGTTTATTTCATTTTTCACAAGATTTTTATATTTTGATATTAAACACATTAATGCCTAAGGCTTGTAAGAGTTATTAAAAAATGCTGTTTTTTAATTACTCAAATTTATACTACAGTGTGGACGTATATATAATGATAAATAAATAAACTAAAATAATAATTAGTGAGATTAGTTGATGAAAGAGTATTTACTGAAGCAGCAAGAAACTGTGGTTGTTATGTTATGTGTTATTTGTCTTACATCAATATGGTGTAAAATACTTCAATCAAGAATCTATTTCTAGATACATTTCTGTTTTTTATAATCATATCAAATTGATGAACTCCTTCGATTTACCAAAGTTGTAAACTTCAATTTAGCAACACCAAACGTTTTTTTTCTTCTTCTTTTTTTACAAAGAGTAAGTAAACGACCCAGCCAGAGAGTCATCAGTTACATTTTTCCAACAGCACCTGAATGCAACGCCAGTGTCTGCTGTCGTGCTGCTTTCTGTCTTGTTATTTTGGAGCAATTTCTATAGGTTTCTCGTTAAACAAAGGAAAGTAATAATAATGCACACAATTGTAAGGTTTATCCCATAATCTCTAGGGATGGAATTAGGTATATTTAATTTAGTCTGTCACCTTTAGTGTAATAATTTATTTCCCCGTCAAATACTCACCGCATGTGATATTTTGGTGGTTTTAAGGTCAATAATGTGTTACCTAAGGCCACAGTTAAACTCTGTAAATATTTTTCAGTTAGCCAAGAGTGTGACTGGAGTTCTGCTGTAGTGATCTTAAAGCATCTATTGTCTGTGTGGGTTCGACTGCTGTTGTTTTTATGTCTGCAGCGGAGGCAGCCTCTTAGCTGCCTTTACATCCACATGAACCCAGCTTTGTTCTCCTGCACGGAAACATATTGTAAGCTAATCTAAATCTTATTGTATGTTTGGATCATTTTCCTGTGGTCTACTGGACAGACCTTTTCTCTGGAATCCATCAGTGTCGCGGAAATTCATACAAGTGCTGACCTATATATGCCGTTACATCAGCAACTGCATTTAGACAAAGAAGAAAGTGTGTCAGGGGCTCCAACCCACTTGTGAGAGCGAACCTCTTCATAAAAACACTGCGTACCTCCAAAAAAAGCTGGCACTCCTTTGACTTTATATGGACTGAGGAATGCTTTATGCATTTAACACAAAATCCATAGTTGGGAAACAGCGTGTACTTAAATTTTGGGATCACTCTGTAAAAGACAGGAAGCTGGGTTTTGCCTTAGTTGACCGGGTTTCATCTTCATAAGCACACGCCCATGATGTTTCATACTTTTATGGCCCCCAGTTCAAATACATGCAGATCACACATGATGAAGTGCCGCCACAACTCCTCGTTTAACCTGTGATTGTGTGCAACCTGGCGGCAGCAGGAGGGTGTGTAGCAGGTGTGTAGGCCGGGCCCTGGCGGCTGGCCGCTAACGAAGGCTGTACCACACAATGACTCACATGAGCGTGACCTCAGGGTGCAACCAGGGCCTGGAGCTGGAGCAGGAGCAGTGCAACGACAATGCAAGCAGTTAGAGTGAGGAACGGAGCAAAAAGGGAGGAGTTAGAGCACAAAAAGGAGCTAGCACGCAAGCATGACACGCAACCCAGGCCTAAGTTCAACAGCCTATTTATGATGTAAGGGGGTAGTTGGAATCTGGAGGAAAGGTTACACTGGCCTATGTGGGCCTCTGCATGCACACCTCCCCTGTACAGTTAACTCCCCTCACTCTGGAACTCCAGGAACAGCTCAGTGGGCGGGTGGGGGAGTTGTTCCTGCAGGGTTCAGGGCTATATTTTACATGCAGCTCTGACAGGCAGTGCCATAGGCTGCAGTGTTTCTACTGCATTATCTGTATATAAATGTGAAATGCATTTTAAATATACTTATGTATATATATATATATATATATATATATATGTCATATAAAATGTTACATGTACTTAACTATATATTATAGTGAAACCTTTTCTGTTGTTGAAAGGGGGCCCTCTTTGTTTGGCACTATCATTAGAGATTGTTTTGAATTGCTTGGCGAGCATTTATTTAATTATGTTGAGAGCACGGAATCTTCAAAAATAGGGATATATCGAGGAATATATTTTTCTGTTTTTCTTCTTTACCTTCCTCAATGCCTTCCTTCCTTTTTATTCCTTTCTTCCTTCCTATGGTTTAAATTGACTACAGCATAAAGACTAGAGAAACTACAGTATAACTTACTATTATTTGTTTTGTAAAAAAAAAAACACAACTTGAAACTTGATGAAAGTCTGAATTGGATAATTCTTAAAAATATAAGTGAAAATCCTCCTCGGTGCCTTTTTTCTGGATATTTGTTAGGAAAATACTGCAGATTCTTTTGGTGATGGTTTTCCGGAGGTTAATGTTACTGATGGTAAACACATGCAGGCCTTTGGACTTCTAGGAAAAAGCTGTCAGTTGTTTCTGCTCCTCATAACAAACATCTGGGTGAAAGGACACAGTCAGTAAAAGGGTTATATATTGGGATGACGGACCTTTCTCTCTTTTTTCCTTCCTTCTTTCCTTCCTTACTTCCATCATTCCTTCCGACATTCTTTTTTATCTTCAATTAATTACTCCTTTCATCCTCTTTACTGTGCGTCATTCCTTTCCCTCCTCCTTCAAACCTCACTTTACTCTAGATGTATTTCTTTTCTTCCCACCTTTCATCCTTTCCATTATTTTTGCTTGCTTGCTCACTTGCTCATACCTCCTCCCTTCCTGCATATTTTTCCTTACTCCTTTTTACTATTTTTCCTTTATTCCTACCTTCCTTCCATTCTTCCCTCATTCCCTAATTTCTTCCTTTCCTTTCTTCCTCTTTATTTTTTTTCAACTATTGGTCTTTGTTCCTTCCTATGTTCCTTTGTTTCTACCTTGCTTCATTCTTCCCTGCCTTCCTTTTGTTCCTCCAGTCTTTCTTACTTCCTGTATTTCTCTTTCTCTTCATTGTTTCTGGTTCTCCCTGCAGTTCTGTGCTTTGTGTTTTCTTTCCCCATCTAAAAAAGTACATATGACGATCTTTGATTTTTTTTCGAGTGTGCCACAGAGACTCATTCACTCGTTCACGACTCCTTTTTTCTGCCCTCCTCCTTGTTCATACTGTACTTCCTTTCTTGTTTTTCCCGTCCTCCCACCTGTTGTCTTCCTCCCACCTTTTGTTCTACTGCACGTGAATCTCTCTCTCTACTCTTTTACTTAATGGAAAAGGTCAGTATGTCTGTTGTTGCTTTGTTGTTCTAGTCTTTTTTTTTTTTACAAAACAAAACAAAACGTCGCACGTTAACGACTGTTTTGTAAAACAGTGTATTCACCCGGGAACAGACTGAAGGGACTTTGTTATATCTTTTGAGTGCTATTTTAGTTCTACGTTATTTTTTACGCTGGATACAGTCGCCCTCACATTGAAACACCCCCAGTTTTCCTCAACATAAACATGAATAAGAAGAATGAGCAGCTCACCGAGGAGTTTGATCTGAATCTGAACAGAGGAGAAACAGGCTAATGAAACCGTAGTCTTTGTATTTCATCTAAAGAACGTAACGTGTTCCTCACTCAGCTGGGCTCCAAAGGATGCTCAGTGCACCACACATCATGTGACTCCTCCTCCTC